TATATAGAACTATACAAATGAAGTGTAATGTCGTTTTCGAATAATTCTTTATCGATGACTATCGGACAGATGAAGGTTTATATATTGCAGTTCCCCCTTTAAATGTCATATTCTTGGTAATCATACTTCTGTCCCAATCAACGTCTGTTTACCGAGGAATATGAAAGACCAATTAAATAAGTAATGAGTTCAGATGAGCAATGAATATGGTTGAATCCCTTGTTCCATCCCTCCCCCCTCTCTCGCTTTTTCCTTGTTGACGATCTTTATAGGTTAATTCGTTGGCCGATGCAATAGCAGAATGTCGCGACTCTACTTCTACAATTGTGATTCTGATCCATGCCGCATCGCAGTTACCTAAACCATGCGTCAAAGTTGGATATGTGGCTCCCTGCGCTCACTGCGTTATCCCTCACCTCCTCTTCCTCCATATTCTTCTTCTTTAGCAGCACCTCCGCGCGCGCTCCGACTGAACCTTGAAAAGTAGTTCTTTATTTCGTTAAGCCGACCAGTTTTCTGCTAATTTTCGATGCATTCACAACAAGTCGGCGAAGGAGGGGGGATCTTCTACACTGTTTGTTAGATGAAATCGAGCACAAAAACGTTTGATGAAGGTTATGTAAAGATGCTTAGGCTCAAAATTTTATTAATGGAAGCGTTTATTTTAAGATTATATCTCAAACATATTTCTTTATCACATTTACTTTCTTCTTAATATCGTTGCGTTTCCACCCTTTCCAATTAGCTCCCTAGCGATTTACACTATAGCAAACGAGCTTTTTGCAGAACTCACCCAAAATCGCTTCCTCAGATTTTCCGACAAAATTCTTCATTTTTGGTGTAAATCGGAATTTTCATGACTTTTTTCTCTTAATTACAGCCGTTACTGTAGTTCAGTAGTGATGTTGTTACTTCTAAAACGGCTACTTTCTTTCCTGCCATGTACATCTTTTTGCGAGCGATCGTCTTCCTCATATTACTTTTCATACCACAAAGTCCAAATAGGTAGGAAAAATTGAGTAATGGCTAAATCATGAAACATGAATTTTTCGAGTTTACTTATATCCTTGTAAACTTTCTTAGCACACATAAAATATGAACTTCTTATTTGCTTGCATTATGA